TTGTTTCTTTAAGTTTTCAAATTTTCATTTTTGTACTTCCTTTAAGTTTTAAATTGTCTGTTTCTTTTTTCATTTATATAGTATGTGCATTTTCCAATAATTTTTTTTCAGCTCCTAATTAAAAAAGGTAGCAACAAATAAATAAAAAAAAGAGTTGTGCCCTGAAATATTTGTAAACCTTAATCACATTCGTCTTACAGGATAATTTATTACATGAAAGAGCACAGAAGAATGATGAGAGTTACTATTTATGGGCGATGAGATTCTTTATGGAGTTCAGTAGAAGACACAATTTTAGAGTTGACATAGTCAGGTATGTAAATGTCTGTCTGGTTTTAGTTTCTATTTAGAGAAATAAAGTCTTGTATGCTTGTCTTTTCCACAAGAACTACTAACATTTTTACCATCATTTTTTTCTTTTCATCACAAATTCACAAAATAGTTTATAGTCTGCACTTTCCTTCAGAAAATTGGAACAAAAATAACCAAATTTTTTTTGTAAAACTGAAAATTGTCTCAAATTTTGTCAGTTGGCTCCAAAATTATGGTTCATTTCCAAAAATATTAAAGAGTATAAAAAAAATAAATGCAGAAAAATTTAGGCAAGAAAGTCTGGTGGTGAAAAGGTTAATGCATTTAATGGAATTTGGTACATAGATGCTTTGTGAATTGAACTAAATTGACCTAAAATCCAACCATATTATTGAAATCTGATGAGTGGTTTTTGAGGTATTGGTGGAATTTAAAGCTAATGATTGTATAATTATTATGCAAGTTAGGTTATTAATATACATAGATTTCAACAACAAATTCATCAGGTCTGCTATAATGAAAACATTGAATAAGAGATACGACTGATCCATCAGATGAGTATGGTCATGTGACCTAAATAATACGCATAACTGTAATATCATATAGTACTTTTGCAGATAGGGACATGCAACAAGTACTATAATTTAACAATGCAGTAAATGTACTGGAGATGTGTTTCAAAAATAGTAAATACAGTATCATTTTTTTTTACTTCATTCCTCCAATACCCTCAGCATATAAGAGTTTTATTTCTAAGCTTGTTTTGATTATTACATACATTGGACATTTAGTGACCTTGATGCATGTCAATTTGTCTGGCTGATAAATTTTGAAATTACCAACTAGTAACATTTTTAACTTCCGTGTGTGAAGCACACAAAGGGATCTTTGCAGGGTTGGTGTTTTCGGTATAGAAAATTGTATTTACTGGGTGGTTAGTGTCACAGTGATTTTTGTGAATGTTGTTCATTGATGAACTTTCTAGTGGAGACTATTTGTTTTATTCTGTTCTGAGGCTCTTTTTTTAATGTTTTTCTTTAGTGAAACTTTTTCAGTGCAGAGCTTTCATTATATTCAGACAAATCTCCAGAATTATTACGAAATGATGTTAGCAGATAAGAAAGAAGTCACTCAGTGGTCGAGAAGGTGAGAACAATGCTTTACTTTGATATCATATCAAGGGTTTATAAGTTAAGGGTAGGCAACCCATGTGAGATGCTAAGAAGATCCCGTTTGAAGTCGCATGAATTGTGAGATGATCACAATTTTGAGAAAAAATAATGATGTAAATGATGTGTTAAAAAAGATTTTGTTAGTTTTCATCCCTTGTTGTTTGTTCTAGATTGCGGATCGTTTGTTATTTGTTTTGTCTTCTTGAAAATG